TAAATTAAAAATATAATTCTTAATATTCATAATAATTGTTATTTGAAACAAGTTGGTCAATTTCATGTGCACTATCTATGCACTATAATTTCATATGCAATCGTGTACTGATAAATAAACTGCAATCGATGTAACATAAGTAATATAGTAAAACAGTCCAAGCTGTGAGTGAATCATTTACACGTACAGCGATAGGGGACACTCATCACTGACGGCATTTTAAAGCAGATGTCCAGAGTGGCGCGTGCCCCTGGTTCCGATTGTAGTGGAAGCGGCTCTCTTCGAGGCTGTTTTCACAGTGGGACCCCCACGTGTTCATACACGTACACAAGAGCGATAGGCAACCGGGAGTCACACCTGGCCCTTAAAAATAGCATTGGCGTGATTTCATGACGTCGTTCGTCGAGATCCCGTCTTTAATAGTTAATAAACAATCTTCTTGCAAATTTTGTTCTATTTCAATTGTTGCCTACAAGCGAGTAGTCAATTGCTCGGTTTCATGTTTAAATTAACAATACTTGATGAATGAGATATTTAAGGCTATTCGCATTCTATAGTAAATGACCCAGTTTCTGGTCACTTAATAATTTCTATTTATTGGCTTTCTCCCCCATCATTTTATATATAATCATAACTCAATAAATATTGTGGGGTGAACAGAAATTGGAACATTTATGGTCCAATTGTTTTTTATTATTCCACACACATATATATACGTATAATAGTAAGAAATTTGGTGAACAGCTTTGCCAATAAATATAGATACAACGTAATCAGATTTAAACTTACAGTGGCTCCAAAGAGTGTTCGCACAATCTTGATGAATCTTTCAAAAAAATTATGTTGTTTAGTTCAATATTAAAAAAGTTATATCGTTTCGTGTGCCAATACCTTTTGGTGCCACTGTGTATATTTTCGCAATTCTTTTAAGCGCCTGTTCTAATTGTAATCGTCAAATTGTTCTATATTCGGTGAAATTAATCGAGGAGACTTCCTGTTCACGCCAATGCATCCCTTGCGCAGAGAATGCACCTAGTTACGCTTTGGCGGTTACAGTTGGGTCACACATGCCGGGGTTACGCAGGGGTTACACGGGAGTACACGTACTGGATGGAGGTATGCACCCCATGGACGCGACAAAAGAGGAGGGGAGGAGCACTATTTTCATGCGAGTTGGCTTACGAGCTCGGAGGCGGGTAGGGAGAGCGACTTACGGGAGGAAGTCGGAAGCGACACGATATTCGAGTCAGTCGTTCGCGGAGCACAAATACGTTTGCATCGATCGACGTTCGTTTACCTACCGATTGGTTATCGATTTTATACATATAATTAGTGGATGACGTCCTTATAACGCCGCTAATTGTTGACCAGGAATTAATAATTGTTAGGACGTTTAATTGATGATCGGTAGATAGACTTAAAGAGAAACACAAATTAGCACCGAACTAAATAATAATAATTGTGGTTCTTCATGTTTTCTTAAAAAGAGTAACCAATTGCAAGTGACTATTTTCATATTTTTGGTGCACCTAATAGAAGCTGAACAATAAAAAAAAAACATCGCTAAAATATATAAACAGAAAAAAACATATAAAGATTGAATTGAGTAATAAAAATTGTGGTGGTTCTTCAGGTTTTATCATTTTATAATCTCCATAACGATACATCGTTAAAATACATACTATACATAGAATAAAAACTCAAAAATTCGAAGAAAGTTTAAAAGGAATGTTTTCGGTATCAATTAAAAGGCCAGTCGGATTCTTCATGGGGGTTGCGGCGGACACCATAAGGTTCTCTGGGCACGCGACCTGTGGGAGGGTCGTTACGGTCTGCTGAGCCGTGAAACCACCCCAGTGTGGCATCGCGCGTTGTTCCGCTACTCATCCTCGTCGTTACTGTTGGAATTGAACTGCGCTCCTCTTCGCAGTTGGAGTTCTCTTGAATTTTTAACAGTATTATAATCGTTGTGAAAGTTGCAAATAAAAAAAGAGGAAAGCAAACAGAGAAGATGAGCGCGTTCAAGAGACACCAGAGCAAAGTGTTCTGGAATCAGATGGCGACCAAGGATCTAGAAAGTCTCGATCCTTTCGCCGCGAGAAACGACTTCGTCAAATTCAAGCAAAACGTCGGCGACAACTTCGAGATAGTCGAAGGAGAAACGGAGGAACCATCGTCCAGCATTAACAATTCCAGCGACACGGCCGACGGTGAAAATGTAACAGCGATTCGCGTCTATCCGAACGACAACGATGATCGACAGTATTCGATGACTACTATTAACGAAGAAAATATGATGACTCAGGTGTAAGTGAAATTGCTGCATTCGGGATGAAATTTATTGTGCCGATGTACATACTTACATACATACGTTTGCTTCGCCGAGCGTGACCCGCTCATTTATTATCGGCACTTTTCTTATCGCGTTGACACACAACGCTACTTTCGTACCGGTACCTTAATCACTTCGAATTCACGACCACACGAGTCCTAAAGCGGTTTGGAACTATTACAGAAACTGCTTCCTAAAGACGTCGATCTTTAGTTCCTCGCAACTTTTAGTGATCTTCTTACTTATCATGATTGATAAATCCAGCATTCTTTTTCTATTCAAGTGCCCCTGCTTATTTCGGTCTAGGTATTTATACATCAATTTTTTTCGACAAGAGTATATTGCGCGAAAGCACTGTAATGATTAATAGTGATATTAATTAGTCAAATTATGTTTCTTTATTTCAAGATATTTTTGATTGGATAAGATGATTTATTTAAAATGTACCATTTTTATGTTTTGACTCAGTACTGCCGTCCTATCAGCGTAATTTTGAGCTCAATAAGGAAACCCACATTTTTTTGTAGATTACGTTTTAAAGTATAGTTGATTCAAATAGGCATTTCTTTTAGAATGATATTCATATGTACTGTAGATCAAAGAAAGTCATCGAAAAGTAAGAAAAATAATAAAGAAAACATCGTTTAAGTATGTAAACAGAGAGAAACAGATAAGGATTGAAGTGATTAATAATAATTGTCGTGATTCTTCCCATATTCATACGTAGAGTAATTGATTGAATGTCATTAACCAGTATCTAATACGAACTACATAAGGAAAATACTATGCATTACTCAAATAGGCGTTTGTTTTTAGATACATAATTTACTATGTAATTTTCAATTTGTTTAATTTGTCAAAGTATATATCCTTCTATCAGTCATCCACACCTTGATCTCAAATAAACTTCTATTTACTTGTTTACAAGCTTGAAAGATACGATTTCTTGTTAGAGTAAACTATATGTATACTATATCTATGAATTGAAGATAAAATGAAAGCCATGGTACGATAAATTATTTTAATTTGTAATCAATCTTTAATTTGCAGAGCCACGATGGATATAAAAGACGAAGACAAAGAGGACGATAACAACATTGTTCTAAGAAACAGATCGTGCAGTCCCTTGAGCCAAGACTTACGAAGCCTCGATTCCGGGTTCTCCGACTCTGAACGATCAAATTGTTCCGAATGTTACGAGAACGAAACACCGAGGAGACGAAAAAGACGAAAGCGAGTCAAGGATCGACGACACGGATTAAATCCGAGACTCAAAGCCGTATGGTTGGAAGATGAAACGCTCCCAAATCCTACGTACACATCGACGCCCAAGGACGCTAGAATTTTTTCTCGAACTGCGGTCCTTAACGCAAATGCCGAAAGAAGCGTGTCAAGAGCAGAAAGGTAATTTGCATATTGATACAAAGTAATCAGTAGTTGTTCAAAATGTTTGCGGGTTTGGATCAGATACACTAACTAAAATGGACTGATACACCTGTATTAAATATGTCATTTTTGTACGTTTTAAAATCGGAAGATATATTCCACCTGCATGTTCGATGAGTGCGTTTACTCACGAAATTAAGGCGAGCCATATCAAAGGGCATCATCTCTGAAATCAGGCCGCACCTAACGAACGATAAAGGTGTGAAGAATGTATGTTTTAAGAACATGAATCGTCACGATAAATGGTCTTCGGGTGAACCAGGCGATAGGAATGCGACACGTAAGGCACTTCCTATGTCATTCTTGTAGTCGTTTCGTAAATTATCGTTTATCCCTATTATAATGGTATGCCCTTATCTATTCACTGTACATACACTAGAAGTAGAGCAACTTTTGTATCGCCTGGAATATTAAATTTTCATTATACTAAACGCGTTCTGATGACGGTGACTCGAATCACGAGACGTCTTATGACTAACGCGCAGTTTGATTTATGAACGGAAAATCTTGCCTGAGGTTTTCAAGAAAGAGAGAAAAATCAAAGAAACTGGAATAAGATTATGTTTATATAGATTTAAGATGAATATAGGAAGTATATAAGAAGCGCCTAAAAAATATAAGAACTAGATAGGAAGTACTTGAAAATGTTTGAAGTGTTGAAGATGTTTAAACTCCAATATGTACCCATTACTTTATTATATGGATACGGAACATCAATAGAACACGCCGGAAAATTCCGTGACTTATTGTCAATTAACGTTGATTAATATACGTTCAAGCATTTACGACGTCAATTAAACTCGGTATCTAGATCAATCTGGTAAATCGAACTAAGTCATTTGACTTGCTTTAATAACAGCATTATAGGCGGAAACAACTGATAATAATATATATACTTCGTAAAGTTTGCGCTTGTGTAATTTAAAGAGGTTTTTAATATCTCTTTTATTTTGTTTCGATATGCTGTGATAATGACGAGACTCACGTTAGAAATAAGTAGACAGAGGATTTTTATGCAAAATAAAACTTGTAGAGTATCAATCTAAAAAAGATATTTGGAAATTATGTATAAATGTTTAAGTATCCTTCAATCCTATAAACGTCATGCAATGCATTTGGCTGTCGATACTTGATGTAATTTTATCTATCATATGCTTCTTTACGTTTTTCATATACTTAGTTATAAAGGCATGAAATTCACCGGGGACGCTATAGACTAACCAAGCCTAATATAGGACCTACACAATAGATCTATGTTGAGTGTATCGGTCTTTTTTTCGACACCCTATAGAATGTAGAAGTACGCGCGCCGGTACGTGATTCAATGCAACGTGCCGCACGAGGAATACGTAAATGAAACAGCGACTCGATTCGAGTCAACCATGGCCCCGGCGTGGTGTGTCCCGGTGCGACGACAACGAACGTACGAAGAATTCCAGCTACCGCGCAGCCCGTGTGCAGGTGACGTTGTGTAGCGTTAGTCAAAGAAATGAGATTAGTCATCGACGTCCGTGAGAGAACGATCCTAAGTCCCGGAGCTAACTACCGATTAGTCAGCCTTTTTGCGTTACAATATATCTGTCGAACTACGATTGTTCCCTGGACAGAATTCGTACACCTGGCTATGCGGATTGGACAGTGGTCACGCTTTAAGTATGCCGCAGCGACGATAGCCGAGACTCTTGTCTCGTTATGGCACGATTAAGGTATTGTAGTTTCCAGACACTACAGCCCTTAAAAGCGAAGTGACGTGCTCGTGAAGCTTGATAAGATGACAATAAATGGAACCGCGCCGAGAGCCGTGTCGCGTTTAGGACCTCAGGTAGCGCGAGTGAAGATTAAATGTAAAAGAAAGGCGAAGGATCGAATAGACTTTTTAAAGAAACGGCAATGTTTGGAATGGACGAATAAATGAAACGAATGAATCAAATGAACGAATAATTGCCGACATAGCGAAACGTACATACATGTAGGCGACCGATATTTTATTGAAGAGTAAGCGCATATTTCCATAATTAGGAAAACGTTGTTTATTGTTACGTAATGCGTCGGATTACGTATTTAGGGAGAAAATGAATTAATATTAATTGCTTTGATGAATCAGTCTCGTGGCAATGACTTTTTAATGATGCCACGTAATTCTAATTGTAAAGAAGGCTAAAACAATTTCTGAGATGAATCGGTGTTGCATAAATTTCACGGCGCACGATCAACGGATACAATTTTATAGCTGTTAAGATAAGAAAAAAACGCATTGTAATGTTTTCACAAAGAAAGAGAAGCCTCAAATAATGGTAATTACATTCCAAAATAAACAGTTACGTGTACGTTATACTAATCAGCTTGATAAATAGTTCATCGGATATTAAAAGCGCAGCAAACATTATCGCACGTTTTTAGCGGCTACTTAGCTGTGTAGAGCTATTATACTAATTGCCAATTTAACGAATGATGAAATTCTTCGATTAGCCGATCATTATTAATTATGTCTCGTATGTTTCTTTTAAATGTCGCAACAGATGCTTAAATGTCCATTAGACTAGAACATTTATTATAAAAATAATTTGTTAGCGTTCAAAATTTTTTTAAGAAATCTTTATTTATATTCCAGATCGGAAGTCGACCAAACAGACGGTTCGACAACCCCAGTTGCCATTTCTTTGGACGACGAATGTCTCGGCGATTTCTTGTATGCATCTGAGCCACCGGAAGATGTGGTCGCTGCAAGAAGCGTGAACTCATCGAACTCGGCTACTAACATCTCCGTGACAGAGCCAACGTATAAATCTCGGCTACATATCAGAGTCTATAGGCAATCGTCGTCGGTGAGAGTATGGCTAAGTGAACTCGCGATGGAAACTGACAACGAGTGCAGCAACACACTTCAGAGCAAATCCCTACCGCGACGTAAATCTCGGGATCTCTTTAATGAAAATGATGACATGACCGATCTGAAGACACTGTCATCCTTAGCCACTGCTGCCGCGAACAAACTGCTGATCAAGGCGGACCGATTTGATCAGTATTTCAAATATATTTACAAGTAAGCCTGTTCATGACTCTTCTCAAGGATTTTATGTTATCGACGATAATACTTATGAACTGTGTATACTTTCAGTAAAGTGTCGCACTTAGAAGGCGGCAGATCAGAGCAGGAGCTCATACGTGCCATAGAGGAAGACGCCTTCTCCGTGCTTTCGGAACTCGGTGCTCCACCTCCGCGTAGAATCCAACAAAATAGTTTGAAGGGAATATTATCACAGTTGCAAGCTATGAAAAACTACGTCGACACCGCTATAGATACTCGCTTAGACTTCTACATCGAAGTAAGAATTTATTCATATTTGCTTTTTTACAGTATATGAAGTCCTTTATAAAAAAAGTTGCTACTGAAACTTGCTTTCGATTTAATTACAATAATTCTATAAAGATCTCCGAAGTTTTCCTGTAGTCTATTCTTTCGGCAGTTCTCTCAGCCGTTCTCTTCTTCTGAGAATGACCTCACGTTCTCTCCACTAATATCGTTCGTTATCTCCTGTAATCGCGAATCTTCCTTCGTAAGTTCACTCTTGGAGGACGACCGGTGATTTGTCCAACCGTTCTCTCCTCTCCATGAGGAAGGACTCGAAGGTCTGATGCTGACATTCGTAATCTATTCCCGGATAGACGTACAGCGGTTCTTTCAGCTGTTCTCTCCTCCTATGAATCACCCACGGTAATTCCTGAACCGTTGCTTTGAAAAATCCCTCGCGAGGCGTTTATCCTTTTTCGTCACTACTTCGTTCTCCATTACTATTTCTCTTTTACTCTTGTGCTCTGTACTCTCCAAAGTGCTCCTACAAATGGTAATTCTTCCACGATTCTCCTTAAAATCATGCAAATCCTTCGATATCGCTTCGTTGTTTTCCTGGCCCCAACGAGCGTCTGAAAGCCAAGCTTCATACTCATGCATGCTTCATGCGTTCATGTCATACGTTGTCTTTTTTACAGAGAATAGTTCGAGGATTGGAAGAAGCCCCAAAAGAAGATACGACACTAGCTAGAGGAGCTCTGGCAGCTTTGACTGCACTGGGCCTCGCTGGACGTAGAGCAGGAAACAGTATCGCTAGATGTTCAGGAATAAGAGCACTTCTAACGTCGCTGATTACCGCCGGACGGTCGTCGGTGGATTTCGTGGCAACTTCGTTACGCGCTCTAGCAAGCGTTTGCTGCTCCGCCGCGGCGATAAATCAATTCATTAAAGACGGTGGTCCAGAAATCTTAACAGACTTATTAATTGCGAAGAGCACTTCGGAGAAGGAGAGTATGGAAGCCACGGCGTTGATCGTACAGATAACTGCTCCATGGGTCGATGCCATAGGTCTCCCATATTTGGAGCCATTCGTGAACGATTTGATACCGGCTTTGAATCGTCTAGTCGAGAATACTAACTGTGGTCAGACCTCCTTGTTAGTCGCAGCTGCGTTTAATCATTTGTCTAAGTCTAGGAAGTGCGCTTTCGTGATTCTGGAACACGACACGATCAAGAAACTGCTGAAAACGGCGAAGAAATCGGTAGGCAAGAATGTTTGGCTGATGGAGCAGGTAGCGGCGCTTATCAGTGAGCTGGCACGCATTCCTGAAGCCCGGAAACACCTGGCGGAAGCTCGAGCATCTATCGCGCTCGTTTCTTTCCTGAGGATGAGACCGCCCGGCTTAGAGGATGCTTACAGACGATTAGAAATCACCGCCGCCGCCGCGCTCACTAGACTCTGCGTGGATCCAGAGATCGCGAGGCAAGTAGTCGCCGTAGGCGGCGCGGACTGCCTTCCGACGTACACGGTCGAAGATCTTTCGACCGAAGACGAAGAGCGGATTGAGGCTGGCTTGCTAAATTACACGAAGTCGTTGAGGAGAGCGTGCAAAAGAGCCGCGAAGCAAATAGACATTGCGAAGGCTAGCGATTGCAACAGTTTCGGTTGAAATAAAAGAACGTTTGTACATGTGATATATGTATATTTTTTTTATAAAAAACAGATTTTATGTTTATATACAATGACATGATTAAATATTTTCATATAAAAAATACTGATGTACACCTAAATTTAAGGAATATTTATATTACGTGTTTATACAATTAGATAAAAAATCTTAAAATCTTTCGTGTAAAAATCCGTAAAAAATAGATAAAAATACCTTTCCACAGCCCAGGTATCGTACAGTATGCACAAAATACATATATGTAACCCTGATTGATATAATGAATACATAAAACCAATATGTCTCTCTACGTGTTATCCTTTGTCAGTTGACTCTTGTGGAAAATGTCTATAGTTGTTTCTAAACACGGCCTCAATTCAAGATCACAAGCACCCAGTACGAACTTTCCGTTCGACGCTTTGAAGTAATTCAATCCACGGCCTATTTTAATTATCCAACCATTGCTAAGCCTGAAACAAAGTTAAAGTTATGTACACCTGAATAATACTAAATTATAAATATATCCGAATAGCCTTACACTATTTGTCTGTCGTGTAGAGTATCAGAGAATTTCACGTCGAAGGAAATGAGGTGAGACGATAAACTCTCTTTCAATTCTTCTAATCTCGTTATTTGATTATTCTTATCGTCCGAATCTATAGTTGTGATTAAAGATATCTTCGATAATGCGGGACACTTCCTCACAGCCAATTCACAGAATCTCAGCAAATTCTGGCACTGGAAATACAAAATTATTTATTGAACATGCTCAAATTGGCGTTAACGTATAAAAGGTACCTGATAAAATGCTCTTATATAAGGATCTTCGATATCGATGTAGGTAACTTTTGCATCTAAGAATCTCCCGAAGACAGTATTATAACCGTGGCCTGTGCTGTCTTTTTCGATTCTAATTAATTCTCTATAAGTTCCACTAGCCTTTTGAGTCTCAATTAAAATTTTTATTTTCTCAGCCCGGTCTAAGTATTCCGACGCTTTGGCACAGAAATACTTCTGTCTAGTTTCATCCTTTGTTTCTGTACATGTCATTAGTTATTCAGTTAAATTATTGTAATATATGCATAAATACGTGAAGGACTAAGCAGAAGAATAAGTACCTTTCCTGGAATCAAGAAGTATTTGTACACCTTCTTGATACAATACTAAAGCCATTGTATACTGTTTGTTATTATCCATCTCTACCGCTCGCTTTAGAATCGAAGCTGCCGCGTTTTCCATTGTTCTTGCAGTTACACGCAAGCTAAATTAAACGAATTGCATACTAAAATTCTCGTCTTATAAATACGAGCGAAAGTAACAACTTTTGCTTATTTTTATCGGAAAACATGTTCTTATTATTTGACACATCAGTTCTCTGATTCTATGGTTTTATATTTTATTAATAACAGTAGCTGATAGAATATTGTGCGTGCTTTTGCTCTACTGCGCTGTAAGTTTACATAAATTTCATGATTTTCCAGATTTCATCAAGCATAGGTTTATTTAGATTTTGATTTGACTGCTAATGATAAACGTTTATAATATTTTATCTTTTGCTAAGAAATGTACGGAATTGTCGCGTATGTAAGCATAAGTAAATAAGAAAACGATCGGTACTCACATGAAATTTAACAAAATGAGTCTACGTCAAATAACTCGTTGCTAATGTTATAGAACAAACTACTTTGCTTATACAAGTGATAATTGAAGAAAACTGGTTGATCATAAACAATCTTATAAGACACGTACGGGATAGTCGCGTATGTAAGTATGAATGAAGAAGAAAATGATTGGTACTCACGTGAAATTAATTTAATACAATGATAAGGAAATTTTTATTTTGTAAATTAATAATATCTTTTGTTTGGCATTATCACTGATTCACACTTTAAATGCTATCGATTCTTGTAATGTATCGAAAGGAATCTCGATTAATAGTTATGCATCGATGCAGCAGAATAAAATAATGGCGCTCAAGTATAATATGACTCTAACCTAACAAGTGTAGGTAGTTATGTCAACTTCGGATAAACAAAACGAGATGTGAGGCTTATTAAATTTTCACTTCGTTCGCGTGAACTCGTTTGGTAAGGAACACAATCTTCGAATAATTGTGCTCACCTAAATTGAACCCGCGGCACTTATTAAACTTGATAATAGTCCGATTGCAGATTTTTAACCAAATTGCAATGACGTACACAACTGTAGATCGTAGCACGTGAGCTGTATACACATGCCTGTGTGCCCGCGTCTTTTTAATACAAAATTCAATACTTGCATCGATGTATTTTGATAGTTAACAAAATTTCCACGTATCAGCAGTGAATAAGGAATATGTAAATACTTAAGTTTGCGCTATTCTTTATAGAAAATTAATTGAAAATTCTGAAGTAAAAGTAAATAACAGATAAATTTTTTTATTATAATTCTCTTTTAAGTAACAGATAGAATCTGTTATAACCGGATTACTGATTTTTATGCAAAATTTATCATATTAACTATAAAAGTGTGATTTATATAGAAATTCCTTTCATTATTTATATCATATCTGCTACTTTTCATATATCACGTCTATAATTAACATGTGGTCTTCATATTTTGGGTAACATCTATGTATACATTAAAATTTATTTTATTTAAATATAGAATTTATTTATTAATATATTTTATGTAGGTTATTGTTTTTACCATGAAGTCTACTAAAAATATTGGAATGGGCTCTCTATGGGGAGAACTACCAGCAAGGGAGACTCTCAAGCAAGAAGTGATAACTCCAGACATTATAGAAAATGTTTGGAGACAAGTTATGGAGGAATCAATTAGCCCTGACACTGATCTTCTAATGGATAAACAATCCGATCATATACAGTAAGATTACTTAGGAATCAACAAGTTTTTTGTATTCGCCAAATAAGTCAGATGCTCACTTCATAACACATATTGAAGATAACAATTATTAAAATAT